GTGTGGGGTGGCTCTGATGTTTGGGGGTCAGTGATGTTTTTGGGGTCACTGAAGTTTTGGAGTCACTGATGTTTGGGGGTCACTGATGTTTGGGGGTCACTGATGTTTGGGGTCACTGAAGTTTTGGAGTCACTGATGTTTGGGGGTCACTGATGTTTGGGGTCACTGATGTTTGGGGTCACTGATGTTTTGGAGTCACTGATGTTTGGGGTCACTGATGTTTGGGGTCACTGATGTTTGCAACGATGTTTGGGGTCACTGATGTTTTTGAGGCACTGATGTTTGGGGTCACTGATGTTTGGGGGCACTGATGTCTTGGGGTCACTGATGTTGTGGGGTCACTGATGTCTTGGGGTCACTGATGTTTGGGGGTCACTGATGTTTGGGGGTCACTGATGTTTGGGGGTCACTGATGTTGTGGGGTCACTGATGTCTTGGGGTCACTGATGTTTGGGGGTCACTGATGTTTGGGGGTCACTGATGTTTGGGGGTCACTGATGTTTGGGGGTCACTGATGTTTGGGGGTCACTGATGTTTGGGGGTCACTGATGTTTGGGGGTCACTGATGTTTGGGGGTCACTGATGTTTGGGGGTCACTGATGTTTGGGGGTCACTGATGTTTGGGGGTCACTGATGTTTGGGGGTCACTGATGTTTTGGAGTCACTGATGTTTTGGAGTCACTGATGTTTGGGGGTCACTGATGTTTTGGAGTCACTGATGTCGTGGGGTCACTGATGTCGTGGGGTCACTGATGTCTTGGGGTCACTGATGTTGTGGGGTCACTGATGTCGTGGGGTCACTGATGTCTTGGGGTCACTGATGTTGTGGGGTCACTGATGTTGTGGGGTCACTGATGTCTTGGGGTCACTGATGTCTTGGGGTCACTGATGTTTTGGAGTCACTGATGTTTTGGAGTCACTGATGTTTGGGGGTCACTGATGTTTTGGAGTCACTGATGTCGTGGGGTCACTGATGTCGTGGGGTCACTGATGTCTTGGGGTCACTGATGTTGTGGGGTCACTGATGTCGTGGGGTCACTGATGTCTTGGGGTCACTGATGTCTTGGGGTCACTGATGTTGTGGGGTCACTGATGTCTTGGGGTCACTGATGTCTTGGGGTCACTGATGTTTTGGGGTCACTGATGTTGTGGGGTCACTGATGTCTTGGGGTCACTGATGTCGTGGGGTCACTGATGTTGTGGGGTCACTGATGTCTTGGGGTCACTGATGTTTGGGGGTCACTGATGTTTGGGGGTCACTGATGTTTGGGGGTCACTGATGTTTTGGAGTCACTGATGTTTTGGAGTCACTGATGTTTGGGGGTCACTGATGTTTTGGAGTCACTGATGTCGTGGGGTCACTGATGTCGTGGGGTCACTGTTGTCTTGGGGTCCCTGATGTTGGGGGGTCAC